TATTTTTCATTTCATTCCAAAAAGTAGCATAATCAAGTCGTGCTGCTGCTGCTGCTTTGTTTTGTTAATTTTTATACATAAATAACGCCTATTCTTCTTTATAATAATTCGGCAGCGCAATATTTTGTATGTACATTATTATGAACTTGACCTACCCTTTTATAGATGTATGTATATTGAATAAAATAAATTTATTTTATTTATATGTATTTGTGTTTACTTACACACAAACGTAATTATTGTATGTACAAATATTTTTTTCTTTATCAATTAAATATCTATTTATTTTTTATATTAAAAATAATAATAGCTTGTGAATTTCCGATAGTTAAGGCAAAATGTACAAAATGTACATAGTGTGATAAATAATTTGTCGAATATTAAAATTAGGTTTGATGACTAATTTCAAATTTAATGTACCAATTTGAAATTGGTCATATATTTTATTACTATAGGTAAATGGAATGGAATTGTTAATTGAACCATAGATAAGAACTTCGAAAATGGTCCATTTATCTTTGAAACATAGAATTTTTTTTAATAATTCTATATATATAAAAGAATCTATTCTAAATGCTATTCAAATATGCAAGTCTAGTCGTAATTAAAATTTCCAAATTTTTCTAATACATTTTTGTTTTGCACGACGATTTCACTAAAGATGTTGCACGTATCTAGTTCCAACTTTCTGAACATATTCGCATATCTTGTATCATGTTGGTGTACTATGTTTCATAATGTCATTACCGTGTTTGAGCGAAAAGCCCATGAGTTATTTGATGTTCTTTAAAGTGAACTTTATCTTATATGTGTTATATATGTATACATATATACTTTCAGTCGCAGTTCTTATGTCAAGTTGGTAAAATTTTTTTATAGCTTCATTCTGCAGCGTTTCTATATTTCTAACATTCTGCTTCGAACTTAATTTCCAGAATAAAAACCCATACGTTCTATTTTCGTAAAATAAACTAAATTATACGGGTAGGAAAATGGATGCCTTTCAAAATACTTCGACCACTCGGCGTCATCTTTTCATTATTTCGTCATTATGTCGACGTTCAAGTTAATGTCAATTATTACAGCCCAGGATATTTGTGGTATATGACAATCTATAATAAAAATTAAAATTTTATCGAACATACTTTGTATTTCTCTAAAAAGATTTTTATTTTCTAATTTGGAAATTAAATTATTTTTATATTTTACTTATAAAAATTTTCTTATTTATGTATTGATTGAATGCATATATGCACAAATATGATCATATTTATGTATGTATGGATGTATGTGAGACTTGTGTCTATAAGATTTCCTTCGTGAGATCTACTTATACTCCTACAACAATCATTCTATTATGACCTTAACCTAAATAATAATTTTTCAATTTATTTTCAATTTATTGTATTTAATTTTTTTTTATATAAAATTATTTCAAATATAATATTGTTTTTTGAAATTTAATATCCAAAATGAAGTTAATAAATATGGGAGAAAATCTATTATTAATTTTTTTTGCTCTATAAATTTTTTAAGTATAAGATTTTAATAATTGTTGTGTGACACGAATTAAATGCTAGTGTTACTCGATTTTTGGTTTCTCATGTAAATTTTCTTAATTCTTTTTGTTTTTTTTTTTGTATTTTATCATATTATAACCCACCTGGGACCTTATTTGTGCTGTCTCACCTATATTATATTTTTGATTTAAATAGTGTATGTAGTAATTATTAATTTATGCTATTATTAAGACAAGATTTTCTTTAAATTTAAATATTGCCATAATATTCTTAAAATGAATGGAATTAATTATTAATGCTATTATTATTGAAAGCTGAACTTGAAAGTATTATTTAAATATTATGTTATATTAATTTGAAATTGCAGAGGTAGATAGATGACGACTATGGTGAAAGTTGAACTACAACGAGAAAAAATCATGAATTTAAAATTTTGGAATTGAAGATTTTTAAGGTGGTGATCTAGATTGCCATTTACATGTATAATAATAAACTTGAATAATATTTTACAAATAGATTTTAAAATAAATCATTTGCTAATTAATATATAAATCATTGTGATTATTGTAATTAATATTTAACGTAAATTGAAAATATATAGAGTAGAATGTGGGCACAATACGATATTTTCAATTCCGGAAATTTAAATTTATTTCTCTTTATTTTGATGTTTCAGTGTACAAATACACTCTCTACTTTTAAATTGTAATAATGAAATAATTTATTAATTTTCGATTATTTTTTTGGTTGTTCTTATTATAATTCTTTCTAATATCCCAAGAGATTTAAATAATTATTTATAAATAAATCGAATAGGCATTATTAGTATTTAGTTAGAGACACTTGCACAATATTTTTCCTATGTCAATATTAATTTTACAGCCTAATTTAATTCATCGTCTCGCTTTTTATTCACTTTGAAAACTGTTTTTATCGTTTTTTATCAATTATGCTATTTTTCCATTAATCTTACTCATTTTTTCGATTAGATTCTCGCACTCTTTTCTAAAATGTCAACTGATCCTCGCACCTTCAGAAACAAAGTGAACAGGATTACACCCCTAATTAGACTTTTCATAAATGCCGTATATCGCGGTTCATAGTGCAAACTTGTCTATATTTATGTTCATAAACAAATGTTGCTAATCTAGTTTGCTCATCAACATTGTTAATCAACATTGTAGCAGTTAAATAATGTGAGCTGTTTTAATTAATCACGATAAGTTTTTTTGCATTTTGCATGTTATTACTTTGCATTATTGCGTTTATGAAGTACTCTATATATAATAACAACCAATATCCGAAAATTATTTTTTATTGGATTTTATGACTAAATATAAATTGAGAAAATTCTTTGTAGTTAAAATAGTATCTGCAATGAATCTAATTAGAAACAAATATAATAATTATGATATCATTAAGATTTAATAAATTTATGGTAATATCCTTAAGCTTTTTTTTTCTTTTCTGATGACATAATTTTTCCAATTCAAATGAAGTGAAAGAAACACAACGAAAACCGAAAAAAAACGTGAGAATGCAAAAATATAAGCGCAGATAATCTAAGATTTAAGAAGCTCTTCAAGTATATTTTTTATTATTAAAAATATTATTGAATTTTGCAAATTATTACTCAATTTCTGCAAATAAGCAAGTACTCAGTTGGTTACCAAAAATTTCATTAAACAATTTAGTCATGAATATTGAAAAATTAAAATTTTTTAAATTATTATTTTACTCGATTCTTACATGAATACTTTTTATGCATACCCTCAATCAGATAGCATGATTTAATGATATTTTGTGAGTTTGTAAGAAATTATCCGATTAAACACCTTTTTGAAATATTTATTCGGATTAAATAATGGTGATTTCAAGGTGCAAAAATTGTTTTTTTTTTTTCTACCCAATTGCCTTTTAACAAATTTATTTATTACTTTGAATGCAAATTTTTCACCACGTTACTCTTGACAAATTTATTTTAAATTTTATTATTTTGGAAGAATACAAAAAGGAATTGTAAGTGGAATTTTATGGAAGCGTGTAATTTTTTTTACCAAATACTTATCCAAAGTATTTAAAAATTAATCTTCATTGTTCTATACAAAAATGGTAATGTTGAGTGACAAAATTCGTTTAAATTAACTTTGGACACTCTTAATATTTTAACGTACATACATAGAGTTACCGAAAGAGCAAAAAAAATTAAATTAAAATATAAATAAACTTCCTAACCATTTTTGGTCGCCTCGCCAATTCAATTATTATTGTGTGTACATAGAAGAGTATTACAGTAAGAGAGCAAATAATTGTAAATACATACATGAATATATACATATAAGTATAAAACATAAATTGAGAAGTAAAGTGTTTTCGATTCTCTTCTATTTGACGTTTATTTTTTTCATAAATTAACAATTAAAGGAACATACGACAGAATGCATACACAATATTATATACATTGCATGAGTATATGAGGGAAATAAAATTTAAAACAAAAAAAAACACACAAAATATGGTCATTCAAAAAAAAAAAAGTGCTAATGCAAACTACTACGGCAACTTAAAAAATTTTAATTTTAAGGTGCATTTACATTTGTTTTAAAATTTGGAGAGAATTGAAACTAAATCAAAATCTAATAAATTATTAATTTGCTAAGAGTGTGGCAAGAATATTGCAATAAATTCTAAGAATTATGCATATATTTTATTTATACATAATACATATGTACGATACTAGATGTGTAAGGTACTTAGGGTATACTTTGTTAATGCTATGCGAGCATATTCGTTTTAAAAGCTATTGGTTTATGCTTTTAAAAAACTGAATAGTTTATTTGCTTATGTTAGAATCAAATTCATTCAAACGTGAATTTAATATAAACCCGAGTTCTTTTTTTGGCACATAAAAGCAAATACAATAAATCCTTTCGCATAATAAAGCCGAAAATCAAAATTTTCGTATTGTTTGGTTTTGAAAATGCACCTTAATCAATTACGATTAAAAAACAAAAATGAGAAATTCAAACGGCACTAAAAAAATTTACAAACCCATTTATGGAATAACCTTTAGAACTTGTTAGCGCTATTTAAAAAACAACACTGACTTCTTTGTTTGTTTTAAGTATTAAAAACCAAAATATTTACAATGGCAGTACCTTCTATTTACAATTAATATTAGTTTTATTTGTTTTCCCTTTTAATGGACATAAATTTTGTACTAATAAGAGATCCTCATCAGAAAAACAATACCTGTATTTGAATAAATAAAAACTTGATTGAAAAATTGATGAACGCTTTAAAAATAAATGTTGATTAAAATAAGGTTTAATTTGTCGTAAGTTTGAGATTTATGTGAGGTCAATTCAATAATTTAATTTGTTTAATAAAATTATTATTACAATTATTGTAATTAAAAAAATACAATATTGGTGCACAATGTATTTAATGAAACCTTTTATTTTTTATCTACTTTTCTAGATCTCCGATATAGTTGTTGGTAAAGAAGACAACGTATCAGCACGTGAAGCTCTATTAAGATGGGCACGTCGTTCAACAGCACGTTATCCAGGTGTTCGTGTAAATGATTTTACAACCTCATGGCGTGATGGTTTAGCATTCTCAGCTCTAATACATCGTAATCGACCAGATTTGCTTGACTGGCGAAAAGCAAGATCTGCTCGACCACGAGAGCGCTTAGAAACAGCATTCCATGTTGTCGAAAAAGAATATAATGTCACACGTCTGCTTGATCCTGAAGGTAAAAAAATATTTTTATTAAAGCTAATTCGGCATTATTAAGTAGTCTTTTCTTTTTATTAAAATTATTATATTATATTTATGTACTACTGAAATTAAATAAAAAATTAATTTATTTTTATATTATTTTAGATGTTGACACTAATGAACCGGATGAAAAATCAATGATCACATATTTATCATCATTGTATGATGTGTTCCCAGAACCACCATCAATACATCCATTATTCGACCAGGATTCACAACGTCGTGTACACGAATATAAAGAATTAGCGCATAATTTTATATCATGGTGCCGTGAAAAAACTGCCTATTTACAGGAACGATCGTTCCCATCAACATTAATTGAAATGAAACGCTTATTAAATGATTTGAATCGTTTTCGTAATGATGAAATACCACCAAAGAAACGTGAAAAAACGAAATTAATACAATGTTATAAAGAATTAGAACGTTATTTTGAATCAATTGGTGAAGTTGAAATTGATCCACAATTAGGGCCAGATGCATTAGAAAAAGCATGGTATCGTTTACAAACAGCTCTCTCTGATCGTGATTTAATATTACAACAAGAAGTTGAAAGATTAGAACGTTTACAACGTTTAGCTGATAAAGTACAACGTGAAATAAAACATTGTGATATTAAAATCACTGAATTAGAAACAACAATTATTGAAGAAAGCCGTCGTATTGAACGCTTACATCCAATTGAAGCTAAAAATATTGTTGAAAGTTTAGAAACTGATATTAGGCATTTAGAGGAACCAATAAAAGATATGAAACAAGATTGTATTATATTAAAAGAAGGACGTTATCCACATGCTAACGATTTACAAAAGAAAGTAACGAAACTCCATCAAAGATGGGCACAATTACATACAACATTCCATACTTCATTAGTACAGAAATTATCTGGCCTTAGTTATCCCGTCCATGAAACAACATTGGCGCGTCAAACGCGTGTTGTTGTCGAAGCTAGACAAATTGATACAAATCCATATTTTAGAGATTTACAAGAATACACTGAATGGTGTCAAAATAAATTGGTAATAAGATTTTTTAAATTGTCACACATAATTTAATTTTAAATATATTTTTAACATAAATTATTTTTAGAAACAATTATTGGCTGCTGATTATGGTTCTGATTTGCCATCAGTTAAAGCGGAATTAGAACATCATCAACAAGAGCATAAAACTATAGATCAATTCCATTCAAAAATTGCACATGCCGAAAGACAAGAGTCCAATTTTAGTGGTGATGAATTACATTTATATCAACAACGATTAAATGCTTTACAAAAATTATACGCTGAACTATTAAGTACCTCAACGAAACGTTTATCCGATTTGGATGCGCTTCAACATTTCTTAGCCCAAGCATCAGCTGAATTACAATGGTTGAATGAACGTGAACAAACTGAAATTACACGTGACTGGGCTGATAAAAATCTTGATTTGTCATCGATTCATCGTTATTATGAGGTAATTATGTCATTATTTTAAAATGACTTACAAATTAATTCTGTCAATTTAGAGTTTAATTTATAATAATTTACGTCCGCAAATATTATCTTATCCATAAATAAAATTTAAAGTAATTTAAGTCTAGCTTAAATTTGTAAAGATATATTTATATAAATAATTAAAATATAATTATGCTAATGGTACTCATAGTTCAAAAATTTAATTGGAAGTAATTGAATTCACTTTTAAATTTTTTGTTTAATACTTAAGATTTTTTTTTTTGTGAAATTTTCTTTTCTTAATTTTTCACATTTAGTAAAATTAAAATTATTAATTATTTATTTTTCAAGCGAACATATGGAAATGGTGATGAAGTGAGTAATTAATTGATTAGCAATAAAATTAAAACTGTGAATATCGCAAAATTAAAACAAGAAAAAAGAAACTAAATTGTGAATGTGTGCGAGTGTTAGACGCTCTTAATGATTTTGTATTTATTTTAAAGCAACATTTTTATATAATTTACTGTATTTTAGTTTTGTGTTAAGAATAGCTTTTAGAAAAATGGTTGGAATCGATTGCAATATAATAAATTTTCAATTAACTCTGAATCTTTTTGCAATCCTTTACATTAAAACTTTTTAGTGTGACGTATTTGTCAAAGGATCGCTATAAAAAATGTTTAATCTTCAATATTATTTTTCTTATACAATATTAAGTTTGCTTCATTGTGGTCGATTACCGAAGCTGGTGAAACTCTAAAAAGCTTCAAACATTTATAATTTAATGTTTAATCCTCGCTTAATACTTTTTATTTCGCTTACTTTTAAAATTTTGTAAATTCCAGTATTTTTACTTTTAATATAAATTTTTATAATAGTCGTGTGTAGAGTTTTCCAATAATAACTATTTTTAATAAATGTAAAAATTATTTTACTTATATAAACATTTTTTTATTTGTATAGAATCTAATGTCCGAATTGGAGAAACGTGAAATACACTTTGCAACGATTTTAGATCGTGGTGAAGATCTTCTACGACAACAGCATCCAGCTTCAAAATGTATTGAAGCACATTTACAGGCCCTACAATCACAATGGGCATGGCTGTTACAACTCACATTGTGCCTTGAAGTTCATTTAAAACATGCAACAGAATATCATCAATTCTTTACAGAAATAAAGGATGCAGAACAATGGCTTGCAAAACGTGATGAAATTTTAAATACAAAATACTCACAATCAGATTTTGGTTTAGATCAAGGAGAAGCTTTATTACGTGGTATGCAAGATTTAAGAGAAGAATTAAATGCTTTTGGTGAAACAGTACAAGCTTTACAACAACGTGCTCAAACAATAATACCATTAAAAGCACGTAAACAACCAGTTAATAGACAATCACCAGTACAAGCAATTTGTGCGTATAAACAACAGGGACAAGTTGCATTAGAAAAAGGTGAATCATGTACATTAATTGATAATTCTGGTCGGGTCAAATGGAAGGTGCGTAATTCAAAAGGAGCTGAAGGTTCTGTACCAGGTGCTTGTCTTTTAATGCCACCACCAGATCCAGAAGCGATTGAAGCTGCTGATCGTCTTAAAAGATTATTTGATCGTTCAGTTGCTTTATGGCAAAAGAAACAATTACGTTTAAGACAAAATATGATTTTCGCTACAATACGTGTTGTTAAAAGTTGGGACTTTGAACAATTCTTAGCCATGGGACCTGAACAGCGTACAGCCATTCGAAGAGCATTAAATGATGACGCTGATAAATTGCTAAGTGAAGGTGATCCAAATGATCCACAATTAAGACGTTTGAAACGTGAAATGGAAGAGGTGAATCGACTATTTGATGAGTTTGAGAAACGTGCTAGAGCAGAAGGTAAAATCACTTTTAATTTTAATATTAAAATATATTTTACACGATTTGATTCATAAAAATTTTCAAATTTAAATGAAGACTGTAAGATTTTCTCTTTATTTACTTTTAATTTTTAAAAACTAATTGCGAAATATTAATTTTATTTATATTCAGACCCTAAATTCAAACTTTTGTATTAAAAGAAAATACATGTTATTAGAACTAGCTTAATGACTAATTAATTGAACATCGATTGCATGTCTAAAATAAAATTCTCATATCTAAAAATTTCAAAGGTAGAAAAAAATTTTTCTAGTTTTTCTATTACTTTATTATCATCCCAATTATCTAATTTAATTTAACAAGCAAAAAAGAAAATTGTTTTTATGGTTTAAATTTTAATGGTATGTAACATCTTTGCGGTCGCTCTTCTATTATTGAAAAATCCGTCAACTCAATGTGAAAATGATCGTAAGTGTGGGATGCGTAATTCATTTGGTAATCGCGGCTCTCTTATAAGTTTTTCCCATACAAAAATATATTTTTTCATATGTCTATTCATGATATATAAAAATTTTATTTTTTATACTATTTAATTTTAGTTCAAAACTTTTAGAACATTAATTTATTTATTCTGTTGAGGTTCAATTATTTTGTAATAAACATAATGAAAATAATCATGAAATTTGGGTATGACGTAAATTTGTCAATCAGCAGTAACGAATTAACTCTCAAAGAAGAGAGATCAAACGCGACTTAGAATTTTAAAAATAATTTTTCTGTATTTCATTGAATTTTTTTTTGGAAAAATTAGTTTCTATTTTAATATTCTAAGGACCAAAATAACGACTTTTACCAAAAATGTTGAAATATTTTAGTAAAAAGAACAGAGGTTAGTTAGATTAAAAAAATGTAAAGAGGTACTCAAAGGATAGGATTTGCAAAAGCAGCGATAAGATTGCAAGAGAAAATGTGGAAACAACACAAAATTTGCAATTAGTTTATTGTTAAAAGTTATTCTCATTCCAATCATTATTGAGCGTATTAGAAAATAAATTAGAAATAATAAAAATAATAAAAATAATAAATTTGTGATTACCGTTTTTAAAAGTTTTATTTTTACATATTTACTTTCTTTTCACAGAGGAAAGCAAACAAGCAAGTCGTCTATTTACCGAACAATGTCTCACAATCAAAACAAAACTTGAAGATATGGCTAGAGAATTGGATCATATTATATTGTCACCAATGCCACGTGATTTGGATTCATTAGAACATTCTGTACAAATTCATGAAGATTATAAACGTCGTCTTAAATTACTTGAACCAGAATTGAAACATTTACAAGAAACATTCCGTACAATTGCACTTAAAACACCAGCTCTTAAAAAGAGTTTAGATAATTTAATGGAATTATGGAAAGAATTGAATACTCAAAGTAATTTACATGGTGATCGCTTAAAATTACTTGAAGGTTCTTTAGCTGGTCTAGAGGATAATGAACAAGTTATATCAGAATTGGAAGGAATATTAGCTAAACATCAAGATTTACCCTCACATGAAGACGGTTTGCATCGTGTATTTAAAGAATTAACAAGAATGCAAGATATTATAACACATCAACAACCGCAAATGGATAAAATGAATGATGCAGCCGATCAATTAGGTCGTATGGGTGTACCAACAAAAGTTTTGGGAGATTTAAAACGTTTACATGCAAATGTTGAACGTTTAAATACAAGATGGAGTCATGTGTGTTCACAATTGGGTGAAAGGTATGGAATATTTTATAAAGTTACAGAAAATTTACTTCCTTAAGCTAAGGATGTTAAAAAATATACAATATACTACAATATAACTAGAGAAAGAATATTCAATATTTAAATTAAAATATTAATATTAAAATTGTATTTCATACACTTTTTTACATCTTTCTGAGATCAACCAATAAAAATATGTCACATATTAAATTTATAAGCAAAAATATTGAATATTTCATTATTTGTTCACCAAGTGGAACAAAAAACTTAAGATAAAAAGGTCATGACTAGCTGTCATTACTTTCTAATAAAGGTGTAGCTTGATTATTAATTCATCACTTTGTTATTTTTTTGCCTGTTGCTTTTTTGTCTAATCAGTTAAAGCAAAGGTATTGTTTTCTAATTTCTAAATCAATTGAACGCTTCATTGAATTTTCTTGAAATCAAATTTCGTATTGTGATTTATTAAACAAGAATTTGGTGTCCCACAAATGATTTTATTGTTTTTACTGTTCTATTGTTCTTTTTCAATATGAAAATATTATGATATAGTGGAGATTGAATTATTTAAAAAATTAATGTTTTAGAAAATTTAAAAAAATAATAATGGTAACACCAATTTTTAATTTAAATAAAACATCAAGTGTCTCAGTGGGAAAATAAAACAAAAAATTATAGTAAGAATTAATTGTTTTATTTGTACACTGTAAGAATCGTAAAAACTTTGGAATATTTCTTACAAACATTGCGTTCTTATTTAGTTTTAAATTTACTTTAGGATTTTGAACATTTTATTAAGTTGTTTTATTACTATTTTAGGTTGAGAGCTGTTGAAACTGCAATCGGTCTCTTGAAAAATCTAAGTACTGGTATTATAAAAGAAGAAACATGGATTGATGGTGCTACTCAGAAATTATCAGCAATGCCAACAGCTGCATCTGCAATTGAAATAGATGTAAGTTGGAAAATGAAGAATGTAGAAAGAAAGCATATCTTCAAAATAATTTGGAGAATAATTTTAAATTTTGTTTTCCTTCCTCTATTTCCACCACTTTATCCTATTTACTATTATACCGCACCACAAAAAAAAATATTACTTAATTTGAATACTTAATACAAATATTTTAGGGCAGTTATTATTTATATAAATGTTATATAGGTTTGAACTTTTATTTTAAAATTTAATTTAGGATATTATTATTTTTATAAATACTGATTTTGAAAATGAACAGGAATATTCTACTCTTCGGCACATAACAAATCTTAAGATTTGTTCCAGCAAAGGGAGTAATTTTTATTGCAGACTATTATGTTTATGTTTCCTTTATATTTTATAGGTATTTTCCAACACAAAACACATACACATAATCTTGTAATAAATGAAAAATGCACCAGGCTTTTCTTCTAAAAAAAAAAATTAAAATGTGTATAAAAATGTTATTTATTACATTAGTACAATGTACATGAATTACAACTGTAATTAAAATATAGCGAGGTTTGAAATGAATTTTTTTTAATTTCTATTTCAAAAAAATAAAGTCGTAATAAAAAATACAAAATTGAAATGTTATTGTAGTAGTTCTAAATTAGAATTGTTGTCCAAACAAAAAAAAACAAAGAATTTTAAAAAATTTGGGTGTTGGAATTTAATTTCTTTGTTGTTGAAATGCTGTATTTAAAACAGCTTTCATTCTCTATATTAATTTTTTAAAAATGAAAATTTTAAAGTAGAAATGTTGGGGATAAATAATTAACACTTGAAGGTCTATAATAAAAATCAATTTTATTTGTGTATAAACGTTTATTTTTTAATATTATGAATTTATTTTTTTATATAAATTGTCCGTCTTTCCATATTTAACTTTGTCTTTTTGGTATTGTCCAAATATTTTATAACATAAAAAAAAAAGAAAATTGAAAGGAGAAATGTTGAAGGAAATAAATTTATATATATTTTTTTATGCACTATTGTAGAATATTTTAATTATGTAGTGTAAATAAATTTATTTAATTATTAAATTGCACATTTTTTTTATAATTTTATATTTTGTTTTCACGTAGGAAATTTTTTACTTCTAATTTTTTGTGTATTATTATTGTAGAATTAAAAAAATCACTATCTCAAAATTAATTAAGTAGATTCATATACACTCAAATTTATTTATTTTTGCTTAAATACTTTAAAATATAATTTGTGATAATTAAATGGATTAATTAATTGCATATATTGATTTTAAATGGAATTTTTATATTCAAGAGCGTAATAATTGTGTACATTATTTGGAAGATTAATATTTTAATCAGATTATGATTATGTAAAAAAGATTTTTGTAATTTCTATATGTTTACAAAAACCTTTTATATAATTTTACAAACATGATAGTTAGTAAATAATTTGATTTAAATATTATAAATTGATTATCACAAATTTAACTTTTGTAAAAGTATATTTTTATATTATAAATAAAAGCAAAAATAAGTGAAAATATTAAATTCAAAAAAAAACTAACAAAAAACATTTTAAGCTATAAAAAAAATTCCTTTAAGTACTAATCCTTTTAAAATTATATAAATATAACCAATTTTTGTTTTATAAATTCTAATCTTACAATTATAAAAAATTTATTAACATAACTTAGTAGAAAACTAATATAAAAATATTTTTTTTTTCATTTGATCCAAAAAATACAAAAACAATTTCGGTATTGAAATTCTTCGATATTTGATAATTGTTAAAATCACAACCAAAACAAAAAACATACCCACCATAAAACTATTTGCATAATTTTGTAAAATAAAAATCAAAATTGTAATCGAAATTTGCGTTTGTGAAACTTATGCATCCAACACTACATCACGACATAAATACAAAATTTGTGATTAAATTTTAAATTTGATAAAAACAAAAATTTTGATATGCAAATGCAATAACACTTACTACACCAAAAAAAAAAAAATAATCAACGGGGTTTTTTTTGTTATAAAATGTTTATATCTTTGGTATACACAATTTTGAATTGCAAAAAATAACTAAATTTTCAATAAAAAAAAAACAAAAACAATCTGAAAAATTGGCATCAACTATAACTTAAAACTCAAAATTAACTATCAATGTTTTGAATCAACAACATCCAAATTTATTTAAAAATCAACCAACCCATCTAATAGAATTTACTTGGTCAAGCTATTGAAAGAAAACCAAAAATCGAACAAGTTAATATTGCTGGAGGTCGTTTAATACGCGAAGCTAAGGTAAATTTTTATATTTTTATATTCACATATTATATTATGTATTTTATGTGTTTGTTATACTATTCAACAAATATGATGAATGTTTTAAAAGAGGTAATCCAAATATATTCGATAAAAGTCAAAATGAATGAAATAATAATTTTTGATATAATTATATTTTATAATGTTAATATTATTATAAATGTTTGTACCAATTTAATGTAATATGTAATTATAATATTAAATTATAATTAAATTAAAATGATTAGTGTTAGGTACGCTTTTATGATGTGTATGATGCATTGATTTTATGTCAAATTATTGTCAAAATGTGAATTGAATGATTTGTTGTGATTGAATTTGTTATATTGAATTTAGGTGTGCTTGATTAAGTATGACTGTATGAAGGATGATAATTAAATGATGGTTTTTTTTTGGTTGAAAAATATCTTCTGATTTGAATGAAATTTATGTGTATGTTTGATGAATTTTGTGTTTTACGTGATATGAATGAGTCAAGTTAATTTAAAAATTATTTAATGCTTTTTAAAACTAAAAATAAAAATGATGAACAAAAAAAATAATATTTTATATTTCAAATCACTTTATTTTAATAATAATATTAAAAACTTTTTTTAGAAAAATTAATTTATTTTTCAAAAACTGAAAATTTTTTAATAAAAAAGAATTGGCAATGGGAATAATTTTAAATTTAATTTGTTTCTAATTAATTATCATATATTAATTAAAAATGAATATTAAAAATTAATAATTACTCCAATATTAACATAATATATTGGTGACTCTATATATTCATATTTATTTAACAAATTATGTATTAAAAAACAAAATACTACATATGTACTTATGTTTATTAAAAAGCACTAAATATTTTATTTTATTTACTAAGAGTATGAATGATCTTTTGTATTTCTTTTAAAATTAATTTTTAATTTAAATTCAAATAATTTTATATTAATTAATTACATATTTAATCACAATTCAATAATATTTATATTATTATTAATAATAAATAAATTTCTTTTTTTTTTAACTAACAAATTTTAATTAATAATAATTAATTAATAATTAACCACAACAATCAAAAATAATTTATGAAATAAAATCAATATAAATAACAAATAAAACAACTAACAATTAAATTATGTAAACGTGTGTTAAATGTTAATATAAAATAAAACATTTGGAAACATCGGGGGAAAAATTGGAAATACAAAATGGAAATTATATTCATCAAAAATTATCATCATATTGAATATGCAAAAAAAAAAAATAATATTTTTGTTTTGCCGAAATGAAATTGAATGGATTTTAATGTTAAAATTGTGCTGATAAATGTATTTTGTTATTCTGCTTTATATCCTGCAACGTTCCGCAATATGTAAATAACACAATATTTTACAATACAAATACATATATAAATTAAATTATGCAAATGATTTTCAATAATGAAAATGAACGGTGATCACATTACAAATATTGTAATATGGTTTGAAAAATCAAACCTTACTGCACCATCTGAAATTTAATTTGCCAATAAATTTAAAGATCTATGATGGTAAATGTCTTCACTATATTGATTGGTTAGTTGAAGCAAGACCATCATTTTCACCACCACGTCGTGATTTACGTCCACCGGATGCTGATCCAGGAGCAACTGAAGTATTTAGTCAACGTTTAGATACATTAAATAATAAATATGAAAGATTATTAGAAATGTTATCACAGAGACTGAAGACGGCAATTGAAGTTAATGGAGCTGATGGTTTGGTAAGTTAAAATTATAATATTTTTTATATAAATTTTTTATATTAATTTTTGGGCAAAATCATATTCAATCTTTTAATTCAAAAAGTTATAAATTTTATTGATAGAAAAAATATTGTTGTTAAAATAAGGTTTTTAAAATAAGAAATGAAAAACATCTGCATTTTTTCCGCTCTTTCATTTTAAAAGGTTTATTTTTAATTTTTTTTTTAATTCTTAGAAGACATTCGTTTTTAAATATAAAAAAAAGAACCCACTCAAAACAGAAATGATTGATTTAGTTTTAGCATATTGGTTTGTTAACTGTGAACAGAAAAAAATGTGTTTTACATTTTCGAGCTTCAAAATCAAATTCTTAACGCAATTTTATGACATCATTAAAACAACTTAAAGAGTTTGAATTTTTATTTTGTTTTTATTTGCCAGCGCAAACATTATTTTTTTTAACTTTTAATTTTACAACATTTTTTTTTATTGCCGTGAATTAGCTGATAACATAAAAAAATTGGAAAATAAAAAGCCAAGAATTCAATGACATAAAAAAGTAAATATGTGAACAGTAAAGAAATTCAAAACAAAAACATAAGTTTTTAATGTAGGTGTTAAAAAATTTTTCAATAATTTTCGAACTTTTAAGTTTTTTTAACTCTAGTTTAGTTTCAAAAGCATAAAAACTACAAAATAATTTCATTAATATGCTGGGAATTTTGTAATTACTTGTTTTTTTTTGGCAGGAAATTAATTTCTTATTTGAACAATTGCGTTTGTTGGTTGTATTTTTTAGATTTTCTTCTTTTAAGATGCAATACTGTAATTTAAATTCAATTTCTTATTGCAAGCCTGCAATGAAATGTTCGTAAAATGATTATACGAGCGTTTTATTTTTTGTAATGGTAGAGTTGAAAAACAAATGTAAATTTTTTATGCGCAATTTTTCCATTGCACTTATGTAGGAAATGTGCAGTTTTTCCATTTTCAGTCGATTTTGAATATTAAGATTTTAGATATTAATATTGTTTCTATTGAAAGTTGAATAACATTTCTATCATAAAGGCACAAGAACAATTAATGTATGTATAGAAATAATAATTGCCTTATTCATTTAAATATTCAAATTAGTCATAATTTTTTAAAGAAATCAAAGAAATAAAATTAATTTTTATCAACCATAATAAATTGCTCAGATTTCAGATTATTAACCCTTTAAGTCTGACCTTTAATTGATTTTTTTTTCTTTTAAAAATGAAATTAATTAAATTCTGCCTCTACTTTTTGTTTTCAATTAAAATAGTTTTAAAAATTAAAAATATTTTGTTTCCCTATTTCAAGTATACAAAATAACTTGAAAGTATACTCTAAATGGGAGAAAATTAAAAGAAAATGCAAATTTTCTTTTTTATTGTTTTACAAAATGCCATTTTCATATAAATTCTATAAATTATATGCAATTTAAGGTATTGTAATTTTCCTTATTTTCTGAAATAGAATTAATGAAGAATATTCATATAATGAGAACAATTCTATATAAATATTTTAATTGCTCACATATGCGAAACTTTTACTATACAAAGATTACAAATTTCACGTTTAATGTAAAAAAATAAATAAAAATAAAATATTTTATTACTTTTTAATGCAATTCGTTGACTATGTATTTATTACATTTTATAGTTAGTTTAAAAAGAAAAACAGAAAATTAATTAAAAAATTAAATATAATTTTACAATCATTTAGAAAAGTATTGTGATATGGCTAGCATTAAAATTCCACTTGAAATTTGCATTCAGACTGTGCAGATTGTGTAGATTGGTTTTAGGTTTTAAAAAATACTTGTAATATTTAATTCTAATACTCTAAATTCGGTTCGTTTAATGAGTTTTCTTATAAACGTATTTTTTTGAATGTGCTTAGAATTTGCTCCGAATATGCTCCGAATATACTCCGAATATGCTCCGAATGACTGATTTCTGTTCTCACAGATTTTAAGTTACAGAATTAAGAAATTTACAGTGTTATTTGTCTTTCAGGTATAAATATTTTATTTCTACACGGTTTTTAATACATTTGACTATTTGAGGCTAATCATTTTTCGAAGATACTGTACATATATTTGTAATTGTATAATTTATTCATATTCACACTCAAATGTCCATGTGGCATTCATATTGTTAAATTAAAATATCAGTTTACTTTTCATATTCATATTTACGTACATTCCGTCATCAATTTGTTGTTGTTCCGCTTAAGAGTAGAAAAAAAAAGAAAAGAAAGAAGAATAAAACGACAAAATAGAATATAGCGTGTTCTTAAACAAAACGCGCGCTTAAGCTTTACTCCAAAAAGTAAGAAAAAGCATTAAGCATTAAGAAACAAAAAACAATTTGCATAAAAACAAATTTTGTTTTAATTTTTTTTTACACTACTCTGTAAGAATTCTAAAATCGAAAAGATGACATCAGAGAAATAGAGAGATAGAAGTTTTTGGTCAAACGTAAAAACTACAACAATAAATGCTTCCCTTTCTTTCTGAAGTCATTCTGAGCACATTCTGGAAATCTCATTTAAGTCAAAAGTTAAACATCATCATTTTTCTTTGGAAAAAAAAAATCTTTTATTTGAATTTTTTCTGAATAAGTTTAGAATGAAATTAAAATTCTAGCGTAAAAAGCAGTTTGAAGCTTAAATTTTTTTTATTATTATTATTATTATTGTTGTTATTACTCTATTAAATTATAGAATACCGTGAGTGAATAGTGAGAATACCGTGAGTTAATAGAATGACCTAAGGCAGATAAAAAAAAAAAATTGTTTCTATTTTAAAATTCTATTTATTATTTAAATTAAATTAAGAGGTGATGGAAAAAATATGACACAATTTCCAATATTAAATAGAGAAGGTTTTTTTTTATTCTATATCACTCTTATTTATGCTGATGCTTATGATAAAAAAAATTATTATTTACTATAATAGTAAATATTTTTTTTTTTTGAATTTAAAGTAATATTTTTCATTTATCATTCAAAATTAATGATCTATTGACATTGAGAATATTTTCTTGTTCTTACTACTACTATGCATAATAGTATTAAATTTTATTCATTGATCTAAAATAATATCAGGGGCGAAACTGCATAGGAAAATTTTAAACCAAAGCAAAAAACTGTTGAAGGACTTTAAGAATAACTTGCGTGTACCACAATTGAGGCAACAGTTAAATTATTATAAGACGTACTAAGGTAGCACAACTAATGAGACTGCAATTGGCTTTCAATTGAAATTTCACAAATTTAATTGATTTTTAACAAGAAATTTTTATTTTACCTTAAATAAATTTTTGTATTTTATTTTTTATTTGTGCATTCTTGGCAGCTTCTTAGTGCTTAACTTACATTTGAAAAATTTCCGTGAAAGTACTGAAACAAATTTTCGACTCTTATTTCAAACGAAAATGAAAATTATCAACCTCTTTTCCATGATCCTCAGACGTTAAACTCAATAAATTTTATGATTTTGAGAGATTCTGTACCCTTATACAGTATTGAGCACTTAGCTTCGCCGCTGGTAATATTTACAAACTTTGAAGAAAAAAATCTTAAAAATTTCTATTAAAAATTTTTTTTTTTAATATATTTTATTATTGAGGTGAATTAAAAGTAATTTTTGAAATAAATATTTTTTTTTTGGCAAAATATTTTTAATTAAATTATGAATAAGTACGGGGTTTCAAATTTTTGTGACTTAAGATTTTATTTCTGAAATAATATTTTTTGTTCATATTTATACATAAATTTATTGCTATTAAAAAAGATAACAACAATAAAAAAATAATCAGAGTAAAAAAAAAAAAATTATGGTAATAAATTTATTCCATTCATTAATATCAATTTCGCAAATATGTAATAATTTTATTTTTTATATGCTATAAAAAAAACGGCAATAATATATCATGTGTGTAGATGTTAGATAATTTCAGTACAGTGAATAACATAGAAAAGGATGAGAGTAATCAAATTTTAAAAGCTATGATATTGTCAGAAAAAGGAATTGTACGATTCCAAAGACCGGACAATATGTGTGACTATTAGTTACAATACTATTGCTTTTAAAATTTAAACTGCAGGCAGTTTGGCTCTAGAGCAAGTTCTGCCACAGGTACCGCTACTAGTCTTCTGGGCAGTTATAGGCAATATTCAAATGTTTTTTTTACCGATAGTTCATGAATCAAGACCATAAAGTTGTGGGTTTCCATTTTTTATTTCGAAATTTTTAAAATTTTTTATTTTACTGCTTACATACTCGTAACATAACATTATGCTTACATACTCGTAGCTATGAAATAGTTAAAAAATTTATTGAATTTAAATTCAAATTCGACTTGAAATCATTTAATTAAATTGAAATCAATCATAAAATTTTGCACAAATTCCAGTAAATATTTTTCTGCATATTCAGTGATTTTAAAATTTAATAAAAATTTTCCAAAAAAAAGTTCAAGAACTTCACGTAAATCTTATTCATCAATATATAAAATAAAAAAAAACTTAACAATGTAATCACTTCACCTACGCCTTGAAATTTTCGTAATTATATTGAACCCTTTAACGTTTTAACTTATACATTATACTCTATATAGCTACCACCCACAATAATAATTTAAGTGATCTTAACTGTAACACACACTTCATATTAAACACACTATTTACACAAAATATTCCAAGTATATGCGATACTTTATTAAAATAACGTTAATATTTGCACAATTCATGTTATTCTCTCTCTTCCTCTCCCTCTCTCTCTTTCTTCCTCTCGCTTTAAATTAATTCAGGTGGATGAAAATAAAATGTTTACTTAAAGCTTGTTAAAAAATAAGAATTGAGTTTAACTTTTAAAAAACAAAAAATGATGGTTTGTTTTTTATTAAAAATTTTCTCAATGTTTAACGTCGATGATATCATACGGTAATTTGACTGAATTTAATTTAATTTTTTTTTTATCATTTTAT